GGGGCCCCAAGCCCGCGTGCGCTCGGCGGAAGCCTTTTTCTGGCCGGTTTGTCTCCCGTTCCTCTCCCGGTCTCGCCCCCCAGTTATCCGCTTCCGGCACTGCCCTGCCTGGCAGTATTTTCGGGGCGCCTCCCGCCCCCAGATTGGCTTGCAAAGCTTTCCCACCACCTCTTGGACCTCTGTGCAGCAGCCCGGTCCCCTTTCTCCCTGAACAGCTTCGGTTTGTCCCAGAGACGCTCCTTGGGGCCTAGCGCTTCTGAGCACTTCCGCCTGGCGCCCCCCAACTTCGTGGCCCCCAGCCTCTGCCTGCCCAGCCAATGTTGCCCGCGTCAGGACGTGGCACAGGATGTCCAAAGTTTGCGCCAGGCCAGGGTGTCGTGGTGCACTCTCCACCCCATCACGGACGCAACTGCCCACAACCAGCTGCTGAAGGAGCATCCTTGTTACAAGAGGAGTGCATTCATCGCCAAGGATTGGGTCCTTCCTATGGGAACATCTCCTTAACTCTTGAAACGGTCTTCTCTCTGGTTCTGCCAGAGGGCAAGGGAGCTGCCATCCTGGAGCTGTCTCTCTGGCGCTCCAAGTGTCTCAGGCCCCTGGCCTCCGAGGAACAGGCTTGCTCCCCAAGAGCCAGGAGCGCACTGAACCCGATACAAACCCACAACGTGCTCAACCAGCAGTACCCGTGATCCTTAAATAAAAGCTTCCTGCCTTCTTAGAGTCATTTGTTGAGTTTTCTTCTTTGGGAGCCATTTGTCCTAACAGACACGACACTCCCCCCCCACCCCCGTTTTTGGAGCTCTGCCTCCCACTGCAGTTGCTAAACCCACTGGACAATCAGTCCGCCACGTGCTCCTCCCTCGGCTCTCCTCCCCTACGAAGCTCCTTCCAGAAATCACGCTTGGGCTCCGTGTTGTAAATCCCCAGCTGCTTCTCTTGGTCTAGGTGGGGAGCAGCTTGAAAATCGTTAGAGCGTGTAATCCGTTAAAGCACAAAGAGGCACGTGTTTAAAAAGTACGGGATCTCAGGAACAAACCATTCAGTTCCTGTAGCCATTGCTCAGGGAAAGAAAATCCTCTGCCTACCTGGATCAAATCATTTCAGAAGACGGCATCGGGGAACAGCAACTGCGCCCCTTCTTCATATTCAGGATTGCGGTCTCTGCATTACCTGCCCACAGAGCCCAGGGCCGTGGACTGCAAGCGCCTCGGCCCCCAAAATGAGGACAGCACTTCATTCCCTCCCCCACAGAATGGAGGTTTGAGAAAAGGATACCAGGGAAAACCAGAATAAAACAGAAATGCCAGAGCAGAGAGAAAGCTGAAAGAATTCTGGGGGTAAAAGGTACCCCCCCACACACGTGGCCTGCATTCACTACCAAACCTATGAGATGCCCCCCCAATACACGTGAACCGCTGGAAGTGCCCTTGTAAGAAAACACGGCAAGCCGCGTTGCACTGACCCCGAGTGCCGGCAGGGGAAGAACCCGCCAGGTGCCAGCGCCCGGCGAGCCCCCTTGTTTCTGTTCACCGGCCGTATTTCGGAGACAGCGCGGCTGGCACCCTGACCCGGGAGGGAGGGAGGAATGGCGCAGAGGCCACCTGGATGGGTCCGTCAAAGACATCCCAACGCCACGCTGTAATTCTCGCCGTGTCTGCCTTTCTGCCTTGGCAGCGAGGTGGGCCAAGGCATGGAAGCTGCGGTGCTGCTTTCGCTCAGGGCTGCTCAGCGAGCTGCAGATGTTTTGCTGGGAGCCCGGGGCATGCTCTTCAGCGTTCGCATGCTTCATAAACGTACGCGGCTTCTTCGGAGCGATTTGGCTGCTTTGGGCGAGCCAGGTTTCGGCCACGACAGAATCCAGCACCGGGCGTAACTGCTTTAAACCTTACGATTCCACCAATATGTGATTCAGTTCACACCTCACCAGTCACTGGCCCCAGTAAATTTTATATATATGCATATCCACACTCAGCAATTTAGTATCTTGTTCATAAAGCAGTTTTATAATCCTATTCATTTTCAATATTTACATGTTTTTATTGTTCTATTGGTTGCATTTATAGCATTATAAGTGAATCATTCCCTTTACTGTGACTGATTTTTAGAAATGCTTACTCTTGTAGCTCTCTATAGTAATTCTACAAAACACTGGTCAGTAACCTCAATAAAGATGAACACCGAAAGATGAACCCTGCAGATACCAGAGCAAAACAGTGTGAGCTGGTGAAGAAAATCCATTGTAGGCCACTGAGTATTTCAATCCAGCCTATTTTATGAAGCCGAGAAGCCAGAACAGGATGGGAGCTTCCATAACTGCTTCCAGGAGAAGAAATGGATTTCTGTTTGCACTGGGAAAGCTCAGGAGAACTGGGTTCTCTTTCATCTCTGCTTCTGAAATGCCATCACCATCGTCTAGAGCAGCGTTTCTCAACCATGGCAGCTTGAAGACGGGTGGACTGCAACTCCCAGAAATCCACCCACCTTCAAGTTGGCACGGTTGAAAAAAGCCGATCTAGAGAATTCAAGGAACTTCACTGCAAGCCTCGTTAACGGCTTCCTCTGTCCTAGTTCGGCGGCTGTGGGCAGGAGACAGGGCTGCCCTGGCGCGGCACAGCGGCTTCAAAAAACCCCGTCCCCTCGCAAAATGATGGATCGAATCCACTCAAAATAGAGTTCAAAATTAGTTCTTTTATTCTTGTGTTATTTGGACAGAAAGCAAAGCAAGTGTTTAATCAATGTTCAATCAATGTTGATTAATATATATAATTTCTTTAGTTTCCTGTAATATTTATTACAATAAAATATATGCCCAACAAGGCTAACAATAAATGTAAGTGCCCTACTAGGCTACCCAAGTTGCTGTCAATTTTCTTGCCCAACTAGGCTGCACATTCACACAGAATACTTACATACACTCTCAACACAGTTGATCAGGCTGTGCTAGAGCGGGCTGGGAATCGGACTCAGGGCGTCCCCTGCTCCAACAAGCGTCGTCTCGCACTTCCAGGTGGGAATGGTTTCCATCCTTTCTTTTATACCCAGCTTGTTTACTTAAAATTCATCCAGGTCATCTCCATCCAGGTCGTCCAGGTACGGTACATGCCAGGAACATTTCATGTTTGGTACAGTTGTTGCCATGGTACCTCTCGTCCCGTTATCTTATAAATTTATGATGTGTCATTTTATTCCTTACACCCACCAGCATTCCAGCCCTGTCATTGTTGAGAACTCATT